AATATGCCCTGTGGGGTGGGGCACAAGGCAGGCTTTGCGAAATGTGGAGAAGGTGGCTCTCCATGTAGAACTGACTTTGACACAAACCTAAGTTCGGAGATATACAGAAAATGGGAGTATTTGTAACATTTATTGCTTGTAGTTCAAGAAAATATTCTCACCAACAATCGACTGAAATTTCCACTATGAATGACCTGTTGAGATAAGGACTTGGATTCCCATTTTTAGAGAAGTAATAATTTTATTATTTGTTTATGAAATATGTATTCATTTATTTGAAAGAGTAACAGAGAGACATTGATCTTTCCTCTGCTGGTTTATACTCTCCAATGGCCTCAGCAGCCAGGACTGGGACAGGCCAAAGCAGAGAGACAGGAACTCTGTTCAGGTCTCCCACATGAGTGCCGGGGACCCAGATGTTTGCTGTCATCTGCTGACTTCCCAGGCATATTGGCAAGAAGATGGGTTGGAAGCAGAGCAGCCAGAACTCGGCCTGGCACTCTGATATGGGATCCTGATGTCAAAACTGATACAGCCTGACTCCCAGTGCCAGCTGCCAGTGTCCTCTTTGAAGACACTCTCTCTAAGGACATTTTAAGGTGCTGCAGCTTAGGATGTCAACCTCAGAATTTCAGGGAACCCAATTTATTCCATAACACTAACTTTTTCTGAAAAAAAACTCAAAGTGATCTAGTTGTAACATGTTTTTTTTTTCCAAAGAAAATTAGCTACAGATGTTCCTTTTGTTGTCCTTGTCTTACTTTGTGCGAAGTGACTCTGTCAAGAAATCCACAGCTGATTGGATCAGAGGCTGAAAGGACAGTGCACAGACGGTTGCTGGACAAGCCCCTCCACCCAAACACTGTTTTAGGTGGAGTGGGAGAAATCAACCTGAACATACTCTTAGCTTTGGTGAATTTGAATTCATGACATACAAAGAGATGGAAGTAGGAAAGCAGAGGCGAATCAGAGACAGAGATGGTGAAGCACGGGAGGACGCACTGAGTGCCTATGTGCTGATACTGGCTGTCAGATACATGTCTTATCACACTGATCTCTCTGGAGAACCTCTAGTTATGTTATGCAGGTGGAGGCCACTGGCAGGAATTTTGATTACAGGAAGTAGGGCCAAACAGAGAAATATTTTTCCCTCCTGTTTCAGTTGGTATCTCTGACAGAGACTGTATTATATCCATGTTTACATTTTTTTTTTTTTTTTTTTTTTTTTTTTTTTTTTTTTTTTTTATAAAGATTTATTTTTATTATTTTTTCATTGGAAAGGCGGATATACAGAGAGAGGAGAGACAGAGAGGAAGATCTTCCGTCCGATGATTCACTCCCCAAGTGAGCGCAACGGGCCGATACTATGCCGATCCGAAGCCAGGAGCCTCTTCCGGGTCTCCCACGCGGGTGCAGGGTCCCAAAGCTTTGGGCCGTCCTCGACTGCCTTCCCAGGCCACAGGCAGGGAGCTGGAAGGGAAGCGGGGCTGCCGGGATTAGAACCGGCGCCCATATGGGATCCCGGGCGTGCTAGGCGAGGACCTTTAACCACTTGCGCCACCGCGCCGGGCCCCTACATTTTTTTTAAGACAACTTTTCTTAAGGTGGGGGCCTGATGCAATGGCTCAGCAGCTCAGTCCTCACTTTGCATGTGCCAGGATCCTATATGGACTCCAGTTCATGTCCCTCCTGCACCACTTCTCATCTAGCTACTTGTTTATGGCCCAAGAAAGCAGTGGAAGATGGCTTAAAATCTTGGGACCCTCAACCTGTTTGGAAGACCCAGAAGAAGCTCCTGGTTCCTGGTTTTAGATCAGCTCAGCTCCAGTCACTGGGGAGTGAATCAGTGGACCAAAAATCTTTCTTCTGTCTCTCCTTCTCTAGAAAATCTGCTTTTCCAAGAAAACTAACTAACTAAATATATATATATTTTAAAGATTTATTTAGTTTCCTTGGAAAGGCAAATTTACTGAAAGAGAGAGAGAGAGAAGTCTTCTCTCCATGTTTCACTCCCCCAAAGGTCCCAGTGGCTGGAGCTGAGCTTTTCTGAAGCCAGGAACCAGAGTTTCCTGTGGGTCTCTCATGTGGGTGCAGGGACCCAAGGACTCAAACCATCTGCTCTTGCTTGCCCCATCTGCAAGCAGGGGGCAGGATCAGAACTGGAGCAACTGGGATATGAACCGGTGCCCTTAAGTGATGCCGGCACTGCAAGCAGAGAATTAGCTGCCAACATGCTGACCCCAAGACACCTTGTTTGAAAGTGTCTTGGACACTTTGAAAGTCGTGGACCCAGCATGACTCTAGTTCCCCAGACATGGTCATACTTTGTGAATTGTATTGCCACTACTTTCTTCGTTTGTGTTTCTCACGGTGATTGCAAAGTATTGCAGTTTTTAACAGGATCCACCATTATGTGTTGGACTTCTCACCTTTTTCGTCACTTGTGAAATAAGTTTGGTATTAAATTTCTTCTATTTGAAATATCTGGAGTGATTTCTGATTTTCCTACTTGGACCACAATGTCAAACTTTACAACCAGATGAACTCTAAAATTACTGCTAATACACCATCTGTCCTACTCTTAAAAAAAGAAAAAGATAAATTGGGGCCTGGCATGGTGGCTCAATGGTTAAAGCCTCACCTTGCAATTACTGGGATATCATAGGAACGCTGATTTGCGTCCTGACTGCTCCACTTCCCATCCAGCTTCCTGCTTGTGGCCTGGGAAAGCAGTAGAGGCTGGCCCAAGTCCTTGGGACCCTGCATCTGTGTGGGAGACCTGGAAGAGGCCCCTGGCTCCTGGCTTCAGATTGGCTCAGCTCTGGCTGTCACAGCCATTGACAGTCCTCCTCTCTGTCTCTCCTTCTCTCTGTAAATCTGAGCTGCCTTTCCAGTAAAAATAAATACATCTCAAAAAAAAAAAAAAGATAAATTGGCACAGTGACTCAAATGCTAACTCTCTTCCTGAAGCACTGCCATCCCATAAGGTTATCTGTTCGTGTCCTGACTTCTCCTTTTCTGATCTAGCTCCGTACTTATGGCCTGGGAGAGCAGGCCATAAAAAAGGCCAAAAAGTGGCTCAGGGCTTTTGGGCCTTGCACCCTCATGGAAGATGTGGAAGAAGCTCCTGGCTCTTGGCTTTGGAGTGGCTCAGCTCTGGCTGTGGTGGCCTTTTGGTGAGTGAACCAGCAGGTAAAATCTCTCTCTTTGTCTCTCTATAAATCTGCCTTTCAAATACAAGTAAATACACATTAAAAATGACTAATAGTATTTCATATTCAGTCATTGGTATTTGTTTCACAGAGAGAATTTTAAGATTTTAATAATTTCCTGTGTTGTGAATGAAATATGTTCATCATTTAGGATAGTCTGGGCATATTTTTGATTGTTGCAACCTGTGAGAGGCCAGCATTATTCAAGCGCTGATTTATGAACAAACCCCAATCTTATCCCAAAATATAAGTGACATATCTATCTGATACAGTAAGATTTATGATAAAAGCATATCTTAGTAACAGTCTCCTGATCATCTACATGGGTATTTATTTCAGTTTGTCATTTACCATCTGCAGTTCTTAGGGCCCTGGTAGCATGGACATACACTGTTTGGAATAAGGATTTAATTGCATGACTAGTATATTTCTTTCAGAATATGGCCCTTTATGGGCCCAGCACAGTGGCCTAGTGGTTAAAGTCCTCACCTTGAAAGCGCCAGGATCCCATATAGGTACTGGTTCTAATCCCAGCAGCTCCACTTCCCATCCAGCTCCATGCTAGTGGCCTGGGAAAGCAGTCGAGGATGTGGGAGACCTGGAAGAAGTTCCTGGCTCCTGGCTTCAGATCAGCACAGCACTGGCCATTGTGGTCACTTGGGGAGTGAATCATCGGATGGAAGATCTTCTCTCTGTCTTTCCTCCTCTCTGTATATCTGACTTTGTAATAATAATAATAAAAAGAATATGGCCCTTTTGATTTCTCCACCAGTGGCAATTATCAAGATGATTCCTAATTATCCATAAGATAATTTTTCTGTAAGAGCTTTTATTTTTATGTTATTTTTATAAGAGCATGTTATTGTTACACCAACATCACGGAAAAATGGCAGCCTAATCTTTGGGAGTTGGCTTAATCAGTTTACGGCCATGGCATCCGTAAATTTTCAAAAAGCCCATAGGTGGTTTTGTTACACATCCAATGCTAAAACACACACACACACACACACACACACACACACACACACACACACACACACACATATGCACCCAAAGATATTGGTAAAACCACACAGTGTGTTTCAGCAGATTTTTCCCTAATTATTTTCGTATCTGTTTGGTCGATTTTCTTCTTCTGATTTGACCTGTGATACAAGGAATGTGTTTGGAAGAATAAATACAGTTTAGTTTATTTGAAATCAAATTCATGCGGGGCTGGGTTTGTAGTGCAGTGCGTTAAGTCACAGCCTGTAGTGCCAACATTCACTATCAGAGGACTGAATCATATTACTGCTGTTCCTCTTCTGATCCAACTCCCTGCCAATGTGCCTAAGAAGCGCACTGGAGATGGTGCCAATATGTGAGCCCCTGCCATTCATGTGGGAGAACCAGATGGGGTTCTGGCGTCCTGGCATTGGCATGACCCAGCTATGGCAGGCATTGGGGGAGTGAACTAGCAGATGGATTCTCTCTCTTTCTCTTTGTTTCTCCCTTTCTGTCTGTTAGCTAAACTTTCAAATAAATTCAATCCTAAAAAATAAAATTAGATCAAATTCATGTGAGTTACAAACATGGCATCGTGTTGATAGCAAAGTAGAACAACCACATGAAAGAACAGAGCATGTCCTGTGGAACACTGTTGGATGGGACAGCACCAAAATCAACAGCAGAGACAGATGACCCTGTGAAGATCTCAGACTATGAAATGCCAGAGGAATTCCCGAGTTCTCTAGGCAGTTGTTGTGGCACTGCTAAGGAAACATCTTATTAATTCCATGTGATAATCTTGGAGTATTGCTAGGTAACATGAGAGTAATACTGAGTGTAATGAAACTGTAGTAATGGGGGCAGCCTTAGCCATCTGCTGGGCATGAGTGAGTGGATGGCCCAACTCCGTTTGAACGGAAGAAACAACTGTCAGGCAGTTGAAGCTGTTGGCATTAGAAGACTGGTGAGTAAGAGGGGCAAACGAAATCTTCATAAGCATGGGTTGGACAAGAAGGAGAGCAGTGACTCACTGAAAAGTGGCCTGTGGCTTGATTGTTTTCCATACTGGGAGAAGACCAGTTTGAGCTAGCCTGCCCTCAGATTCACAAAGGAGCTGTGAACCTGCATGGGAGTGGAGGAGAGGGGGAGGGTCTGGTTAGGAAGTTAACTTACACAAGGGACCTGCAAGTTTGCTAGGAAGTAAGTCAAGGGTTTGGAAGCTCAGAACTTCCCCTATTTGCCACCACCCTGTGATAATGGGCCTGGGATGGGTGTTTGTGCCAAAACCTTGAGAAAAGAGCAATTGGAAAGCTAATGAACCAAGAACTTCTTCAGATGGAGAATAAGGATAGGCATTAAGATTGACACTTTGAGGACCTCTCAAGAAGATTCTGGAAGCATATGTGTTTCTTAGTGTGGCCAATTTTCTTTAGGTTCTTCTATCTTTCCATTGATGCTTCTTTATTACGAAAGGAAAAGGCAAAATTCTTGTATCTGTGCATTTGCTGTCGAAGAGAACGGATTCAAATGTGCTGAGTGATGTTAGTTGTTTCAATTAGCAACGGCATTAGAGCAGTTCAGTAAGTAGCATTTTCCTAAGTTATTTGAAATGATTGCTTAGAAGTATCTGAGTATTTAATTTATTAACATGTTCTATTAAGGTATAAAATATAAGGTGGGGGAGATAAATCATTCCATTTTGATGGGGAAAATAAGAAAAAAGACGAGTTTTTTTTTTTCTTGGACTTTAATGTTTTCAGTGAGAAGACCTCCAGGCATATGTCTCTTTGAGATAAAATACTTTTTATTCCATCTCAGTTTCCTCCTCACATCTTGGGCCTCTGTTTTCACCGCCTTGGATGCTGGCTTGGAGGCGTGCCTTATCTCTTCTTCACATACATCCTGCCATGTTACATGTCTTACAGGAGCAGAAACTTTGTTTCAGCAGTCGAGAAATATCATGATCACCTCACCTGTTTAAATGATTATATAAGTATACTTTGGTTATCATCATTAAGACTTTCTTATTTGACAAGTCCTACTGCTGTATGAATTACTCTACAAACAAGGGGATGGAGATGCAGGTATGCGACTGTTTCAAAGCAAAGGTTTAATACAATGGAAAAGAAAAGCTTTTGAATGTTAACCTTGGCTTTGCCTTTAGGTTTTTTTTTTTATTTGTTTTGTAACCTTCTTAAGTTCTCAGATACATCATTTATGAAATGAGAATAAAACTCACTTTTTTGGTGAGTTTATTAGATGAAAGCACCTTACAGGTCTCTGACACTGAGTAGATGTGCAAAGTGACTTTCTTATTCATGTGGCATTTTTATGTTACTATATTTTAATTCCTTTTTGACAGTCCATTGATAATACTTTACCTTGTTATATAGAAGGTGAAAGTTGTCTTGCTTATATTTTGAGTCAAATTTATGTTTTTCTTAAAATGGTAGAGAACAGAGAAACTTCACAGAAAATGCAGCCGTGGAGCTGGTGAGTCAGGTGCATCAGCTCAGCTCTAGCTAAATTTCTGTTGCTGTTTTGATTATTTAGCATCATCTTTCTACTTCACTTTCAAATTTTCCAAATGTTAGCCAAGTGAGCACTTTCCAATCCTATAGCAAAGAGTTCAGTATTTATATTCTGCAAAGGAATCATTGGGTGGCAGCATTCTGAATAGTTTCAGATACAGTTTGACAAGTTCATTTGAAAGAAGAGGGACATAAATAATGGGCATTTACAAAACCCCTGCTGGGTATGAATTCACACTGCTTTAAAGGGTCTGCACAAACCGCCTTTCCTGTGTAGGAGAATAGTCTGATGCTGTCGCTGTGGCTGGAAGGTCGGCAGGGTACCAGAAATCGTGTCGCTGGATGCATTGCCTTCTCCACAAGAGCCTGGTCCATATGTTGTTCCGATTACTAATCATTTCTTAGAGCTAAAAGGAAACCAGGTGAAAGAACGTGAATTTTAGAGTCAGATAAACTTGAGCTCAGCCCTCAGCAGAGGGTAGAAACCAGCTAGATATGTTGGAGGAGGTCACCCATCAATGGCTTCAGTATCGGCCAGCTAGGTGCCATCCAGCTTGCCAGCCGGTTGTCAGACTTCAATGATGTAATTCATGCAGAGGTGCCCGGTAACATCCTCGATCCTCGAAAATACCCACTGTTTTTAACTAATGAGTTTTTATTTTCCTTTTAATGGGTGAGATGAACAATCCTAGGACACCTTAAACATTTGTGTGAAATAATGCCTTGAACATGTAGAGTAGATTTCCAGCTTGAACACACTGTGGCCTCAGAAGTAAGGTAAAAACGATTGACATTAATCTCCCCCTGAAAAGTTTGCTAGAAGTTTAACACATTTGACTCTTCACAAACCTGAGTGAGTTTGCCCACGCAGAGGAACCAGGAAACCTCAGATGAAGAGATGTACCTGCGTTGAGCCTTCACAATCCATCTTATTCCAAGGCCAGAGCTGCACAGACAGCGGGCCTCTTGTGAGACTGTGCACGCCTCTTAGCAATGTGCCCGTGTTTTCCCCTCTTCTGCTCTTCCACCTACATTTCTTGTGGCATTTTTTAGACATTAAATCACTAGGCCCAGCAAAGCATTTTCTTCAGCATTATTTTTTAGCTCATTCCCCAAATTATGCTGCAGTTGGATGAGGTTCAATTGCTTCTGAGACACTGTTGTTTGACTTTTGGATTCCATTCACATGACTTTATCCTTCATAACTCATAGATGATCATTAATAATAAATGCTGTCAAGGGTATGTTATGTGAAAAATAGTATTAACAGGCTGAACTTCTAAGGCAAGACCTCTTAGGCTGTATAGTAAGACATCAAAGTTACAGGGAAACTTATTGCCTCTCTGAATTATGCTCCTGAGTCTCCTTCCCAGTCTTATGCTGCTTCTCATCTTTCTGCAAGTTGCATAATAAAATTACAGATGCAAGAATGTCAGAAATGAGAATTCTTTGGTTCAGCCTTCCAACTTTACTAGTAGGGTGACTAATGAAAATATTTTCTGTGAAAAGAGGTTTTTAAAAACATACATACTACAGTGGAGATAGACTGTGTTAATATCTAAAAGGATAGTTGAGCCCAGGCCAAACTAGACATTGAGAACCTAGATGCTTATGTATCCAAAAAGTGCAAATTGGGGTAACAAGTTGTATATGTCTTAACGCAACAAATCAACAAGCAACTCTCATTTCAATGGTCGTGTGTCCCAGTTACCTCATCTGACAATACCCCTCTGCCTTTGTCCTATACATGATATAATAAGGCTTCTATCATATGGGAATGCTGTAGGTGGTACATGAAATATGAGGATGCAAAGTGAGTAACATAGATTGTAGATCTGTAGCAATTATGGACACTCTTGATTACCAAAAATATTTTGTAGGGGTTAGTACAATGATTCAATGGGCTAATTCTCCTCCTGCAATGCTGACATCCCATATGGGCGCTGGGTTGTGTCCCAGCTACTCCACTTTCCATCCAGCTCCTTGCTTATGGTCTGGGAAAGCAGTTGAAGATGGCTCAAAGCCTTGAGACCCTGCAGCCATGCAGGAGATCCAGAAGAAGCTCCTGGCATTTGGCTTTGGATTAGCTCAGTCCTACCAATGTGACAATTTGAGGATTGAACCAACAAATGGAAGATCTTTGTTTTTCCTTCTCTCTGTAAATATGCCTTTGTAATATGAATAAATCATCTTGAAAATATTATAATGTAAATATGAGTCACCATTCTCCAAAAACTATCTTGTTGGTGAGACATAAAATAATAATTCTAAATGCTTTACATGAAGTTTAAAATTACAGGCCAACCACAAAGAATTTGAATGACAAAAAGTTTGAATTTGCTCAGGGTAGCAAGATGGCATTGGCTAACACTAAGCAACTGTGAAGTGATAGGATGTAATGATGAACAGCGCAGGCTGTGGTGTTAAATAATTTTGTTTTTTGGCTTCTGAACATTGACATTTCCTATTGATGTAATTTTCTATAATCTTTTAATCACTTGAAACCTCAGTATTCACATCTGTAAAGTGTGTATCTCTTAGTCATTCACAAGATTATGAGAAGCAGTTCATGAGAAAGAATTTTGAAGTTTTAACCCAAATTAAGATACTCAGTAAGAGCTCTCTGTGTCTTTACACACACACACACCATGTGCTTACACATACATAAAATTATGGTGAAGCATGTATAGCATAAAATGCATGCACTTAACAATTTGAAGTGTACACAGTTCATTAGTGTTAAGCACATTCACACTGTGTCATGACTATGCATCTCCAGGATTCTTTTCATGCTGCAGAACTGAAACTCTGATCTCATTAAATAGGAACTCTCCATCCCTCTTCCTTAGCAGCCCCTGGAAACTGTCATTGTCTTTTTTTTTCCTCTCTTAAAATGAGTATTCTGATTAAATTCTGTCGGTATAATCAACCACTATTTGTTTTTCCCTGACTGGTTTATTTTACTCAACATAATGTGCTCAAGGCTCAGCCATGTTACTTGAACTTTTAAAAAAAGATTTCTTCACTTTTATTGGAAAGACAGATTTACAGAGAGAAGGAGAGACAAAGATCTTCCATGTGCTGGTTCACTCTTGAAATTGCTGTAACGGCCAGAACGGAGCCGATCTGAAGCTAGGAGCTAGGAATTTCTTCCTGATCTCCCACATGGGTGCAGATTCCCAAGGCTTTGAGTCATCTTCAGCTGCCTTCCCAGGCCAGAAGCAGGGAGCTGGATGGCTAGTGGAGTAACTGGGATACGACTGGCACCCATATGGGATCCCAGCACAACTGAGGTGAGGTGTTAGCCACTGAACCCCCGTCCTGGACCTATCACTTACATTTTAGGCTAAATAGTCCCTTGTGCTTATCTATCACTGTATCTCTGTTCATCTATTTTTGGATATTTAGACTGCTTTGAGTTATTGACTATTGTGAATAATGCTGCTTTGAATATGAATATACAAATATTTCTTCAAGACCTTGTTTTACTTGTTTTGCCTGTATTTCCATATTGGTATTGCTATTTTTAAAAAATTATTTATTTATTTATTTTATTGGAAAGTCAGATATCCAGAGAGGATGAGAGACAGAGAGGAAGATCTTCTATCTGATGATTCACTTCCCAAGTGGCTGCAACAGTCAGAGCTCAGCTAATCCGAAGCCAAGAGTCAGGAGCCTCCTCTGGATTTCCCACGTTGTTGCAGGGTCCCAAGGCTTTAGGCTGCCCTCGACTGCTTTCCCAGACCACAAGTAGAGAGCTTGATGGGAAGTGGAGCTGCCGGGGTTTGAACTGGTGGCCATATGGGATCCTGGTGTGTACAACATAAAGACATCAGCTGCCAGGCTACCACTCCAGGATTACTATATTCCTTTATGGTGCTTCTCTCTTTAATTTTTTTGAGGAACTGCACAGTGGTTGCATCATTTAAGTGTCCACAAACAATAAACAAGTGCTCCAATTTATCCACTTAAATTTATCAACAATTCATCAACATTGTTTTTTTTGTTTGTTTCAGTAAGATTTATTTTTTTGACAAGTGGAAAGATATATGTGTGTGTATATATATATATAGAGAGAGAGAGAAAGAGTGAGAGAGAGAGATCTTCTCTCTGTTGGTTCACTCTCCAAGTGGCTGCACAGTCAGAGCTGTGCCAGGCTGAATTTAGGAGGCAGAATCACCATCACATGGGTGACAGGAAGGTAAATTCTTGAGTCATCTTCCACTGCTTTTCCAGATGCACTAACAAGGATGTGGGTAGGAAAGAGAAAAGCTGGGACTGATGTAGGGTGCTGGTATCACCAGCCAAAATGCATGTACCATGTTTTAAAATACTAGCCATCCTAACAAGTGTGAAGTTATTAAATATATCCGTATTAATGCCAAATTGGTTATTTTAGTATATAGAGTATTATCTTTGTGGACTGTGGATTAGGATCCCTACTGCTGCCAACATGATACTGGGAGTGGTAAAATCCTTGGGTGGAACTCTAGCATGTCAGGCTTTAATGCAGGACAAGGGACTCCTTTCATAGATGTCTGTCTATGGAGTAAAGTTAGCTGGAACATGTGAGTAGTGGACCTTGGGGGCAGAAATACAGTCACATGAAGAAGCAAGCAGATATCTCCTGGCTTCACTGGTGCTAACTAGACACATTCTGTGTGTTAGTTAAATTTTTTGGTGATTGTGGGTAGCAGGGCTCTTGGCTTTGGAGGTGTGCGTTGGAGTCTGAACCTACCACAAAAATTCAGGATGCTGGTATGACGTGTGTGTGTATGTGTGTGTGTGTGTGTGTGTGTGAGAGAGAGAGAGAGAGAGAGAGAGAGAGAGAGAGAGAGAGAGAGAGAGAGAGAGAGATCCAGCTGGAGACAGCCAGCGTAGCAAGCCTAAGAGAGTAGGGAAAAAGGGAGTGATGGAGTGATGGAGGAGCGAGGGAGAGAGAGGGATATCTTCCGCCTGCGGACTCACTCCCAAAATGACTGCAGGCTCTAGGGTCGGGCTTACCTGGAGTCTGGAACTCCATCCTGGTTTCCAACATGGAGTTAGTGGCTCAAGCACTTGTCCCATCTTCTGTTAGGAGAGAGGTAGATAGGAAGCAGAAATGGTAAGACTTGAATAGACACACCTGGATTGTCGGCCTATGAGGTGGCAGTTAAGCCTATTGCCAGCCAAAGTCTTACTATTGTGAAGCCCATAGAGGCTGGTATAGGCTTAGGAAGCACCACTGCACCTCCACCTGCTGTGCAGGGAGGAGAAACATGTAAGTCTCCTAAATGGTCATTGTGAATGACTTTAGAAATCGTCTAATTATGGGAAAAATCAGTAGACCAATCTTTATTTTACTCTGGACAAATACAGATTGAGATCTCACAGCTGAACGCCTAACATTGTGATCCTATATGGATGAAGTTACTGAGGAGGCACAAAAATGCTGGGGATATTGTTGGAAAGTTGAAATACTGAAGTGAGGGATTGGGTTTCTAGTCATTGTGATAACTCCTTGTGTGCATAAAAAATACCAGGGAACCTCTGGGTGCTAGACTCACAAAAAAGCTAGGCTCAACCAACTATGCTGGCCTAGAAATAGAAATCCTTTAGTTGTATTTAGCAGATTCACATTGGAAATACTAGTTGAGTATGACTTTGAAATTTATTTCTATTTGAAAGTCAGATTTACAAAATGAAGGAGAGACAGAGGGAGGCAGAGAGAGGGAGAGATTCATCTGATGGTTCACTCCCCCGGAAGGCCACAGTGCCAGAGCTGAGCTGATCTGAATCCAGAGTCCAGGAACCTTCTTCACGTCTCCCAGTTGGGCACAGCAGCCCAAGGACCTCTGCCACTCTACGTTGCCTGCACGAATCTTAAGCAGGACGCTGGATCAGAAGTGAAACAGCCTGGACACACACTGGTGCTCAAATAGGATGCCCGTGCTTCAGGCAGAGGATCAACCTGTTGCTCCGTTGCACTGGCCCCTCATCGCCTGTGGCTTGACTTGCAGTTTCACTTAATTTTATTTTGTGGGGTTAAGGGGTGTGTTCTTGTGTTTTCTTGAAATTTTGCACCTCAAAGAAATTTTTAAAAAAGATTTTATTTAGCTCAAAGAATTCGAGGGGGGTGGGGTAAGAGAGAAAGAGAAAGAAGCAAGCATGCCTCCATCTGCTGGTTCACTCTCCTGGGCTGAGCCTGACTGAGCCTGACTGAGCCAGGAACCGGGAGCTTCATCTGGATCTCTCATATGGGTTGCAGAAGTCCAAACATTTGGGCATTTTCCACTGTTTTCCGCAAGCATTTTGCAGAGAACTGCATCAGAAGTGGAGCATCCAGCACATGAACCGGTGCCTAAAAGGGATGTTGGTGTCACAGGCAGTAGCTTCATGTGCTGTGCCACAACATTGCTCCCCATCCCTCAAACTGAATGTCCATCTGATGGTGTGTATTAATGCAGACCTTCTATTTGAACTCTTGATAAATAGATTCAGATATTCAGAGAATAATGTGCTTTGCTTGCATACCTTCCAAAGACTTGAGATTTAAGCCAAATATTTTTATTTCCCTGTGAGGCTCTGGGCAAAGCACAGCCTGCGGTCTTCATCTCTGTTACAACATAATGGTTCTCGTTGCAAACTATCATGAGATTCTGGTGGATAGTATTTGTTTAGAGTGCATATATATATATATTTTTTTCTTATTTGTGAGATATCTACACACACATATGCAGATGTCATTGTCCCATGCACAGTGACTATGTGGCAGGGTGACAGAGAGAAACACTGGGGACCTGGTCTTAGATATTGTGGCTTTTTTAATCACTCCTCTATGATTACTGGCCATTTTAATATGAATGGTTCTGCTGAGTGTAACTTTTCTTTTCATTTTATTTTTAATTTTAGCTAATTTAAATCCAAACAATTACATGTGCTTAGTGGAAGGTATAAAGAGCAGACAAGAGGATTCAGGCTTTATAGATAGAGGGAGATATTACTGAGGGACATTTCCATTGTGTTGTATAGAAGAAACGGAGACAGGTACAGTTTTAAATGCTAATGAACCCTAAGTAGCAAAAATGAGTGCTTCCTGATGAAGTGGAGGGGACAGAGAGGAGTCAGTCAGGAGGGAGGGAGATGGGGTGTGGGATTTCATGCATTTTCTTTCTAGATAACCAAGCAACGTGATTGTCTGGGGGTGGGGAGGGAGAGTCATGGGTTGAGAGTCCATTGTGTGTATTGACTGGTGCCAGGAAGTTGGATGGATGTCCTGCTGAAGACTTCCAGCTTCTCCCTGTGGTGGGACTCTAGGGCCTCGCCTGAGGGAAAGTACGGTGTTGTGGAGATTTTGAGAGAATTGAGCAATGTGCAGAGAGGAACTCTCTAGGAAAGTATATGAGGGCTCTTGGGTAGTTTTTATGTTGTTGATGGGGAAACTGAGGCATGGGAACCTATGCAAGTTGATAGCCACCTCCCAATTCCAGCGGGTCGCCAGGCCTTGACTCTTGATCCTAGCACCACAACAGTGCCTGCCAATTGGCCCACCTGTGCCTATTTCTTAGTATCTTTGCGTACTTTCATTCTGTATGTGAAGGATTCATTTCTCCTAGGAAATTTTGCTAGTTTGTCCTTCTGTTTCTTCAAAGTCTAGTACAATTCTGCAAACACACAGGAGGCCCAGTAAATACTTGTTAAAGAAGTAAGTGGACGAAGAAAGGATAAGGCCTAGGACCTGTCTGTTTCCCTTGCAAGGGGTTCACCTTCATTCTACTTCATGTTTATGGTGCAATCATAGTTTGAATCCTCTCCCCATGTTCTGCGGAAGAATAATTTCAAAGTCAGTTGATGTGGTGCAGTGTGAAAAAGAGAGGTCACTGTGTTTGAGAATTAAAAGATGTGCTTTATTGTATTTTTCATTTCTTGGCATCCAGATGAGGCATAAAAGCTGACACTGGGGAGGCTCTCCTTTCACCATGTAACTGACATCAAGAGTTCATGCCCTCCTCTTCCATTCTCAAGGAAATAAATAAACATTTGGATTGGCCAGGGCCCTGACCTTGTGAATGACTCAGGCCCCCCAGAGTTAAATTCTAACTAGGATTTTTCCCCTAGGACTCAAATTTTATCATCGTGTGCTATATTTACCAATGATGTTACACTTTATCTTAGCAAATATTTAATTTGTTGAGAGAAACATGTCATGAATGCATTACTCATAAACTCTCATCTTTCCAACAGATTCTTGCAAGTGGCAGAAATGGGACTTCTGGGGTCCTATTAATATAGGGGAAGCAAAGTCAAATGTCAGCCTTTAATGAATTCAGCAGAGAAGACAAGTGTGTAGGACTGAGTTTAGAAGACAAATATCAGCCTTCTTTTGGACATGGCTGTTTACCTTTAAAATAAGATTGATTGGGGAATTAATATCTAACAGTCAAAAGTGTACCGTCTCCACTGAAAACACCGGACAGTCACTTCCTTTCTTCCTCCACGCCCCCATTTCTTTCTAATTTATTCAATTAAGTCTATAATTGACAATGGAGCAATCTAAGGATAGCGTGAAATTTTACATTATTGGTGTTGAATTTGTTCTAACATCTAAGCTTTTTGAGAAAGTAAGTTTTTTTTTTTTTTTACATTGGTGGCTTAGAAGCCTTTGAAACACATGCTAAGGAACCCAAATAGGTTATTTACACAAGTGTTTCTATTGACAAACATTCATGAAAATGTATGATTTGTATGATGAGGTGAAATCTGGGCAGAGGCACAGTTTGATTTCTCATGTGATGTCACAAAGGGCTAGCTCTAATCCCAAAAATCCCAGGGAAGCAGATTTTAGCCGCTGTCGGGCTTGCAGATTCAGGTTGCATTACAAACAGAGCTGACCGTGTTTTGGAAATGCTTCCTACTGTATATGCGTTGCAGCGAAGGTTGGCGTGTGTTTCTTCATTCTGGTCACCCTTCCCTTGCGTGGCTGCTCAGTGCTGCCTGCCCACTCCCGAGTCTCCGGCATCTCCTTCTTCGTCGACAATGCACATGATTAAAACGGTATTTTCATATTTTAGTGTAGTTGGAGCTTCTTAAAGCAGAGGGTTCTAAGTGCAAAAAAAGAGATAGGCAGTTCCCTAATGGCTTATTACCATCACATTTGCAATTCAGATCAGCTCTAAATTGACTGAAATTTTTAAACACATAGCAGGCAGTTTAAACTAATGATTGTCTAGAGGTTCACCACTGACATGAACTAAGCTTCTGTTCAAAACAAATTGCAAATAATTCCTCCCTCAGAGTCAAAATGTCACTTTTAAAAACTCTATGTTATTGCTGGATTTTTGTCAGTTACATACCAAAAAAAAAAAAAGTCTGCTTTCTGTTGAATATTCTATCTTTGAAAGGACCGAGTGACACCATTTCCTACTTAAAAAAATAAAAAGAAGAAGAAGAACCGGCATACTAACAACATGTATGGACATGGACATACATGGACCTCCATCAGTTTCTCTAGGAATGCCCCCTCCACTTCCCTCCCCTTCCTTTTCAAAAATCCTAATTGTGAAGTAAAACACCCTTGGGGCAGTGGTAGGCCCAAGTTGCTTAGCAACCCGCAGCAGGTAGCAAAGATTGGGCTGCAGCTGTCCTGATCCTTTCCTAAGAACCTCCTTATTACTGTTTGTGTTAATCTTTAACCAGGCTTTTAAACCACAATCTTTCTCTCAGGTCTCTTGTTGTTAGATTGCAGGGGCCTGCTCAAATGTTGTCCCAGAGGTAATGGTATTAAGGGTGGCTATTGAATGTTTGAAGAGTGATAAGCACCGAAAAGGGATTCGAATTGCATGTTCCAACTAACCTTAGTTTACGTTCTTAAAAAATATCATGAAAATTTTTAGCCTCACAGGAACAATGGTTGGGGTTGACACAACAAAGTTAAGCCTGCTTTTTGCTCCCAGCTTGTAAATCCGGTGAGGCTGCCTTCTTCACCAAAATTGTTCCTTTTGAAAAGAAAAAAAAAAAATCCACATTCTCCCACAAAGGCACTTAGGGAATGCGTTCCGAATTGCCCACAGCCTGGCGCTGATTACAGTCTGGCTGTTTAATTATGGGAAGCCAGGTGTGGATGCTTAGAAAGCTACAGAGACAGGGGAGAGCCTGGGCTTCGTGTAAGAAGCCATCTGGTCCAGCCTGGGAGCTTGTGGACTATGCAGGAACTCCATGTCGCATGTGAAATGGACCAGTTCTTAAAGGATACAAATATTATGTGACCAAAAGACACACTGACTTTTCATAAGGTGCATTTGTTCCTGGGTGTGTTTGAACCATCAGAAGGTTTGTTCCTTCTGTTGTGAGGTTTGGATAACTTAACTACAAGTGTTAACCAATGAGGGTAAGCTCATAGCAGCTTTAATACCAGGCCATTTTTATGTGTCATTGTATAACACAAGAGAAAGAAGGCAGAACTGTCTTGTGATTTTTTTTGTGTGTGTGTGACTCAGTCTCTCCCATTAGATTAAAAATAAATCACCAATGATTCACCACCTGAATCTTCATTGTCATTTAAAAGGAATTTAGACCTTTTCCCATTACAGCATTTGATAGCAGACCTGGCCCTATTATGTGCAACATGGTATGTGCTTCATAATAGTGATGAACTTAACTTGGAACCTGGAGAAAGTTCACAGTGTATGAAGGAGATAACGCCTTCATATTTTCTGAACTTTTTTTTCAAGTTAGTAGGTACAGAAATAACCTTCAAACTTTCGTTACAAAAAACAAGAAAATTAAATCAGATAGACAAAGAGACCAATACGGAAAGCTTAGGACAGACAAGAAAAAGTCAGCTTGGACTCCCATATACCTTACTAGGTAGGACACAAAGATCAGTTATTCCTAAGGTATTGGAAGATTTCTCTACACACCCTTCCTAAAACTGTTCCGTTTCTCAATCGCTAACATATGGCTTGTTAGTTATAAGCCTGTTTGGACTATCCTAAAATTCACAAAGCTCAGTAAAAATCACACTTGAATACTGTAAGCTGCTAAACTTAAATATGAAGGGGAAAAAAGGCACGAGACAGCTGAATAGTACCCTATATCCAGTTTAAGGTTTATAGCAGTTGGTTATGTATAAACTAAAATTGAGATGTCAATGAAGCAGTTACAGGATGTGGTTAAGCACTTGCATTTTCTAACACGTTGGGCACTCAGTACCATGTCAGTTGACTTCATGATGTTGTAAATCTCCATGTTTCTTCCTGTTGTTGAATTTGTATTGTGGCTTTTCATTGGAGGGGATGATATTCTGCCAGCTCTGCTTTCAGATCAAGGATGGTCTCCCAATGAAACTGTTGAATATATCTGGACAATAAGATGCTGAGCTCCCTGCATGGTCCAATGAAGGAATCATGACTGGTTATGAGCTGTATTGCCATAATAATATAGAGGAAATCAATATGGGGTGAGGGGTTGGGGGCATCCCAGAGCCTATGGAACTGTGTCATAAAATGAAACAAATAATTAAAAAACCCTCACAAACATATATGATCCACATTTGTCTTTTCTTTCTTTTTTTTTTTTTTTGCTGAATTGCAGTTGTTTTCTCCTTGTGTTTGAGTTTATATACAAAATTTTAAAATCTTAAGTGAAAACCCAAGAGAATAGTTTCCTCCAAGTTTGATTGTCCAGAGTATCAACTCTCCACATAGTTGGTCTATTTTAATTGATTCGATACCATAAATACAAGGAAATGTACATTGTGTGTCTGATGGTAGAACTGAGGCATGGGGCTCTGTCCCCTGTGGTCCTGTAATTTCATGGTATCAGACAAACCTTTCCCCTGTGTCAAGTGGCACTTGGGTGTCCTCAGACAGTAGTGCTGCATTTGTAGGATTGTTAACTTTCTCTTTCTGAAAAACCTTTAGAGATAAAAAACCCTGTCTATAATTTTGATTTGTTTCATATTTAAACTCCAACCTGTGTCTTTTATCTTTCTTTTGCTGTAAGCTAAATTATTTTGTTACATGAATGATTGCCCAAGCGAGTCAATTAAATTCTGAATATAGCTGGTGTTGATTGTTTTTGCTGATGGAAGTATTTTTGTGGAATCTTCAAGGAAACTTGTACAGATTAGTTCTTTGATATGCCTGGAAATTCAGAAAAAGATTCTGTCAGTAAATTTGTTGATTGCTTTCCTCCGATCAGTTGTACAACTGAGTTTTCCAGAGAGTAATTGTCAAATAGTAGCATAGGAACTTGTATTACATTGATTAGTAACATTTGAGCAGTAATTGTCAAATGTCAGTATTAGGAAAGGGCAGTATCAAACAAAGTGGGGGATTCTCTGGATTATAGAGCCATCTGCACAGAGTTAAGGATTGGGCTTGGTCTCTTGAGCCAGTGGGAATATAGGCTGCACACCGTCAGCAGTGGGCACCATATTCTTATGTCCAGGGAGCTCTTGGTGCCTACTCGGGCTGAGTAGTGTTCTGGCCCTAATGGCCAACTCTTCAGATATCACTGTGTAGTCAGGTCCCCAGTGTAGTCAGGTCTTATGGCCTCAGGAGCATCAGTACTCCTGCTGGGACTGCAGCACATTCCTGAGGGCTGGACTTAGTTGGAGAATTTAATCGTGGGGTAGGTGATTGCTATTTTGGATCGTTACTCTAGGAATGAGACGCTTATTTTTAATATTGTTTCTGGCCCCTCAGTACCCATCCTCCTTCCATTTTTTTTTTCTTTTTGAAGCAAAATAGGAATAAAAGGGCCATCTGTTTTTATTCCTCATTGTGATGTGTTTGCAGTAAGTGAGGAAAATTCTTAAAAACATTTACTCCAGAATTTTCAGTACTACTGTTGATATTTTAGGCATCATTGACACGTTGAGCCCAATAACTTGATGTGAGGAAGACGGTCCTATGCCTCATGAGAAGTTTAGTGTGATTCTGGCCTCTCTACCCGCCACACTGTCTCTAAAATGACAGTTGTCCTTCAGAGAAGAAGATCATCTCTGATTGGGAACTACTGGTTTAGTGCTATGCTTCAAGCATGGCCTCCAGCAGTCACAGCAGCATTGCCCGAGAGCTGGTTAGAAATGTGACATCTCAGGACCTACCCCAGACCCCCTGAGTAAAAATCTAGGTCTTTGCAAGGTTTTTGGGGTGGCTTCACATGAACATTCATGGAGAGGAAGTGCTGGTTTAATCCATCGTCTTAAAGCCTAACCTTAAATGGCAAAATTCAAAGGTTTGAAATCAAATAGATTTTCTCAGTTAGCAAGTTGATGCCTGTATAGGCAAAAATGTCTTTGGAGCAAAGATGACTAAAATATTTAAGGATGGTTAAAAGACATTGACTAAACACCCACTCCCCAAATCATTATCATAATGTTTTTACAATGCGGCTCATCTTGGAAATAGGACTGTATTTCCTAAGCTAACCTATAAGCAACGCTAACAAGATAGTGTCTATTTTCAGGTGTTTATTATGTTCTGTGTTGTGTTTGTGCTTTAATTCTCAAAACTTTGTGACGTGTTAACCTCAGACTCAG